TGCCTCGTGATTTTTTTCATGAAAAAAGTGTGCCTTTGCACAAAAAGGTTGAAAAACACTGTTCTATTGTGTACCCATACGATCCTCGAAGGAAGCCTGGTTGCAGACCCACAGGGGCACAAGACACCTCAATACCTGGCCCCACTACCTGGCAAACAGAACAAGGGAGGAGGCTCCTGTTGCTGCTGGCCTGGCCTGGCCTCCATGCGCTCTTGATGCCATCTCCTGCAGGGAACAGCCTTGGGAGGGGAAGGCAGCAGTCAGCAGCTCTTTCCCCCACAGGATGTGCCAGGTTCCGACTGCGGGCTGATTTCATCAGTGCAGGGAGGATGCAATATCGGTGCCAAGGGAAGCAGAAACAAAGATCAAACACAAACGAATTATCTAGGTCCAATTAACACTCATTTGCATGAGCAGGGAAGGATCTCCCAAACTGGTTGAGCTGGAAATTCAATTCAAACCCAGCTGAAGGGAATGAGGGGGCCCATTCTACTGCACCTCAACACCATCACAAGAACTGTGACACGGCAAATCATTCCTTAGTGCATGCTGTTGTCATCGTCAACAACATGTATTAAATTTATATTTATTTACCGCTTTTACTACTTTATAAACAACTCAAAACAGCAAGCATGCCTAATATTCCTTCCTTTTCCTATTTTACCCCAAACCCCAACCCTATCAAGTGGGCGAGAAGGATTGGCCCGAAGTCACCCGGTTGGCTTTTCTGCCTAAGGAGAGACTAGAATTCACAGTCTCCTGGCTTCTGCACCAGCATCTTAACCACTACACCACACTAGCTCTGTAAATTTATATTTATTTATATTTAAATGTATGTGCCACCCATCTCCTGACCCTGGGTAATTATTGTAAGATAACAAAGAGTCCTCTGCCATTCCCTTGTGGGCTTGGATGACCCTGTAATGCCCACGCCAGAGGTGAAAGACATAAGCATAGAGTAGGTGGATGAAGCTTTCCTATGGTACATCATATAATCACATCATGCTGTTACACAATAGCCAAAAACTCCACCAGGATTGCAATTGGGCCACAATCTCACCCACTATAAAATCAGATCCCGGCACCGAGCCTACTGCTTATTAAGAACTGAATTTTAAAAATAGTGGGCAGTAAATTAAAAGTCTACCTTGTATGCATGGGAAGCCCATGGAGAGGAGATCAAGCAGATAAAAAGCCAGCAAAAACTTCAACATGTACAGGCGGGGAACAATAGAAGAGCCTATCATCTGAAAATTAATTTCCCCAAACAGCATCAGATTATCTGCTTAATTATCTGTATAATAATGAGATATAAACCAAATATAAAACATTGTGAATTTTTAAAAGACTATCAGAACACGGAGACTGGAAATGAACAACATGTAGACCCGTGATGGCGAACCTATGGCACGCATGCCAGAGGTGGCATACAGAATTCTCTCTATGGGCACAGCGCACATGCGTGCCGGCCAGCTGGTCTTTGCACACACCAGGGTGCCGGAAACCCAAAGACCAGCTTGCCAGTGAACACATGCACAGCGCCCAGCAGGTCTTCAGGTTTCCAACGCTACAGCGCACGCACACACACACACACACACATTCCGGTTCGGGCAATCGGTGCCAAAAGATTCGCCATCATTGTTTTAGGGCATGCAAAAGTAATCTTTAACAATGAAAGTGACTGAAGTAAGAAAATATATTTATTTTATTTATGTTTTACTTTTATTTATTTACACGGTCTTTATTGTTTTTACAAATAACTCAAGGTGGCGAACATACCCAATACCACCACCACCACCTACTACTACTACTACTACTACTACTACTACTACTACTACTACTACTTTACCTACAACAACAACCCTGTGAGGTGGGTTGGGCTAAGAGAGAGTGACTGGCCCAAGCTGGCTTTCATGGCTAGGTGGGACTAGAATTCTGTCTTCTGGCTTCTAGCTTGGCGCCTTAACTGCTAGACCAGTGTTTCTCAACCTTGGCCACTTAAAGATGTCTGGACTTCAACTTCCAGAATTCCCCAGCCAGCATTCGCTGGCTGGGGAATTCTGGGAGTTGAAATCCAGACATCTTCAAGTGGCCAAGGTTGAGAAACACTGTGCTAGACCAAACTGATTCTTTCTATCTTTTGTCGTGTTTCGTTTGCAAAAGACTGAGAATCTCTCTCTGTCTCTGTGTCTGTCTCTGTCTGTCTCTCTCCCCCCCCTCTCTTTGCCGCCACTGTGTCACGATTGCCTCCTTTCAGAAAATTCAGCAAACAGGGAAGAAAAAACAAAATTTCCAGGAATCCACTAGTTGGAAGCCTGCGCAGAGCTGGCTGCCAGGCCCTTGCCTCAAGGCAGCAGCTGTTCTTGGGAGAATCTGCAGGAGGCAAAATGCCTCATTAAACCACCACCCTTGTATATCCAACTCCACAAAACAGAACCAGGGAGATGACGAAAGGAGCCCTTTTTTGCAACCATCACTGGGAAAGATGCAGAGATGGAGGTACTGAA